CTTTATGTACCTCTAAGAAAAATCACTGCCAATTATACTATAACGTGCCATTGGCTTAAGACTCATTCCAGTTTGGGAGATGTTAAAATGTGGGGGGAGGGCCGGCCCTATGGCTTGGTGGTTAAGTGCGCGCGCTGCGATGCTGGTGGCCCGGGTTCGGATCCCGGGTGCGCATCGAGGCACCACTTCTCTGTTCATCCTGAGGCCGAGTCCCACATACAGCAACTAGAAGGATGTGCAGCTACGACATACAACTACCCACTGGGGCTTTGGGGGGAAAAAATAAAATAAATAAAATCTTTAAAAAAAAAAAATGGGGGAAATGTGCTTCTTAGAATGGATGAAATACAGTATTTCATACCTTCAACTCTCTTACTTCAAAAAACTTCCCTGTCCTGACTTCCAGCTGATTCTCACCTTGCGTCCTGTTTTCAATGCGAAAAGAAAAGCACTCAGAAGAGAAGGCCCCCAAGTCTGTCACTTGAGTCTGCCCCTGTACCCTTCCCTTCCCCCAGTTACTGCGGGTGAACGGTCCAGTCTCCCATCTAAAGCCAGCTTCTCTACTCGGGAGCTGGAGCCCAGCTCCTCTTGCCTATCATAGGTCACCTTTTTAGCGGTTTTCCTCTTTCTCCTGCTTTATCAATTTTTCTTTCTCTACTGGATCATTCTCATCAGCATTAGAAACAAGCTGTCATCCTTCCCGGGGCAAAAACTCTTGATTCCCACATCCCTTTCCAGCCCCCGCTCTAGTTTCCTGCTCTTTGTAGCAAAAATTTCTGTGAAGACTTGTCTATATTCACTTTCTCTAGTTTCTCCTCCCATTCTGAAACCCACTCCAGTCAGGCTTTCTCTCCTGTGACCACCAAAAATGTTCTTGCCAAGGGCCAGTAACTTTCTGATCCAGTAGTCAGCTCTTAGTCCTTATCCTGCTATACCTATTAACCCACAGCATTTGACACAGTTGATCACTTCCCTTTTCTGCATGTCTTCTGTTCACTTAGCTTTCGGGACTCTTCAGGCTTTCTTCCTACCTAAGTGGTCACTTCTTTATAATCTCCTTTGCTGATTCATCCTTTTCTACCTAACCTTTTGATGTTGGAGTGTCCAGGGCTTGGTCCTTGGACTCTTCTCTGTAGCTGTGCTCACTGCATTCTCATGGCTTTAAATACTGTCTATAAATCGAAAGCCCAGAAATAAACCCACACATCTATGGACAGCTAATCTTTGACAAAGGAGCCAAGAACATACAATGGGGAAAAGAAAGTCTCTTCAACAAATGGTGTTGGGAAAACTGGATAGCCACATGCAAAAAAATGAAAGTAGACCCTTACCTTACACCATGCGCAAAAATTAACTCCAAATGGATTAAAGACTTGAATGTAAGACCTGAAACTATGAAACTTCTAGAAGAAAACATAGGCAGTACGCTCTTCCACATCGGTCTTAGCAACATCTTTTCAAACACCACATCTGACCGGGCAAGAGAAACAATAGAAAAAATAAACAAATGGGACTACATCAAACTAAAAAGCTTCTGCACAGCAAAGGAAACCATCAACAAAACGAAAAGACAACCTAACAATTGGGAGAAGATATTTGCAAACCATACATCTGATAAGGGCTTAATCTCCAAAATATATAAAGAACTCATGCATCTCAACAACAAAAAAACTACCAACCCAATTAAAAAATGGGCAAAAGACCTGAACAGACATTTCTCCAAAGAAGATATACAGATGGCCAACAGACACATGAAAAGATGTTCAAAATCACTATCAGGGAAATGCAAATCAAAACTACCATGAGATATCACCTCACCCCCATCAGAATGGCTATAATTAACAAGACAGGAAACAACATGTGTTGGAGAGGATGTGGAGAGAAGGGAACTCTCATACACTGCTGGTGGGAGTGCAAACTGGTGCAGCCACTATGGAAAACAGTATGGAGATTCCTCAAAAAATCAAGGCTAGAACTGCCATATGATCCAGCTATTCCACTGTTGGGTATTTATCCAAAGAACTTGAAAACACCAATTTGCAAAGGTACATGCACCCCTGTGTTCATTGCAGCGTTATTCACGATAGCCAAGACTTGGAAGCAACCTAAGTGCCCATCAAGGGACGAATGGATAAAGAAGCTGTGGTATATATACACAATGGAATACTACTCAGCCATAAGAAACGATGAAATCCAGCCATTTGTAACAACATGGATGGACATTGAGGGTATAATGCAAAGTGAAATAAGTCAGAGGGAGAAGGTCAAATACCGTATGATTTCCTTCATTAAGTAGTAGATAATAACAGCAATAAACAAACACATAGGGACAGAGGTTGGATTGGGGGTTACCAGAGGGGAAGGGGGGAGGGAGGAGGGTGAAAGGGATAATTCGGTACATGTGTGTGGTGATGGGTTGTAATTAGTATTTTGGTGGTGAACATGATGTAGTCCATGCAGAAATAGAAGTACAATGATGTACACCTGAAATTTTTACAATGTTATAAACCTGTAAAAAAAAATATAAACCTGTAAAAAAAATAAAATTTTTACAATGTTTATTGTTACTGCAATAAACAAAAAATTTAAAAAAACAAAACAAAAACAAAATAATAAAAAAATAAATAAATACTGTCTATACATTGATGACCAACTTTTACTCTTCGACTTGGACTTCAATGCTGAATTCCTACTCAACTTCTTCACTTAGTTGCCAGTAGGCATCTCAGGTGCCTAAAACCAAATTCTTAATCTTACCAGCAAACCTGCTCTTCCCACATTCCTCCTCATCTCAATAAAGGCAACTCCATCCTTCCATTTGTTCAGACCAAAAATCTGGGAGTCTCCTTAATTCTTCTCTTTCAGAGCTTTAGTCCAGTCTCAGCAAATTATGTTGACTTTATATTCAACATATGTCTAGAATTCAACCTCTTCTCATCATGTTCACTGTTTACCACTTGGGTCCAAATCATCGTCTCTTGCCTGGATTACTGCAGTCACCTTCTAATTGGTCTCCCGGTTTCCACCCTTGCCTCTGCCACCTCCCAATCTTTTCTCAGCCCAGCAGGCAGTATGATCGTTACACTTAAAATATAAGTCCCTTTGTAAGTTAGACCCTGTCACTCAGTAAAAGCCAAAGTCCATAAAATCACCTCTAAGACCCTACGTGATCTGGACCAGTTATAGCTTTCTGACCTCACCTCCCTCTACTCCCCCTTCTCCAGCCACCTTGGGCTTGCTGTTCACTCTGCCTAGGATGCTCTTCCCCAGTGGCACCACATGGCTTGCTCACTACTTCCTTCTGGTGTTGGTTCAGATGACACCTGCTCAGTCCCCTATTTAAGCTTGCAAGATCCGATCACTTTTGTCACTACCATTTCTCATCCTACTTCCCTGTTCTTTTGTTTATCATAGTACTGCCGCTAGAATGTAAGGTCTGTAACAGGGAGGGTTCTTAATCGTTTTGTTCACCACTAGATCCCCAGGACTGGAATAGTGCCTAGCACATGACAAGTGCTCAATAAATATTTATTGAATGAGTGAATCAAATGTAAAATAGCAAATTTACTACTTCTGAACGAATCAATTCTGCACATTTGTTTGGTCATTCTAATTCTGGAAGCCGTAGAATTTAACTGAATTTTGCCAACCCTAAGTGGATAAGTGTAACCTAAGTGTTCTGAACCTGAGTGTGAGATAACAAACATATTAGAAACTAAATTTAAAATCTGTATCAGTTCTTACTTGGGCAGACCTATTTATTTATTCACATCATTTTATAGCATAGCAAATTGTTAATAAATCATTTTAATGGTAAGTTTTTGAAAGTAATTAAGGAAATCATCTTTTCAGGAAAGCTTGACTTTATTAATAGTTAATATACCGTGAACTGTACTCATTTAGTGATTGAACTAAATCCTTTACTTTGTTAGCGTCACTTACACCTGGTTTGTACTTGAAAGAAAGAAAACTTACTGTTTTCAGTAAATTACACTGACTTCTTTTGAATTAAATTATCTTTGTAATTAATGTTGACAGTTCTCAGGAAACTGAAAGATTATGCAAGATTACGTTTTCTCCAAGAATTAAAAAAAATCTGTATACAACTTGACATTTTTATATTCATCTTTTGCTAAACACATTATTATATATTAGATCTAAAGAGTGTCCTTTGTCATGATTCAGGGTTTTTATGAAAGAGACATATTTCTGTAAATCCAAAATTGTATCCCTCTTTCTCTTATGACTGTCCTATTCATTCCAAACTAAAAACCACAAATAAATGGAATTGAATTTAGATCTCTTCTTTTAGCTCAGTATTCTCGAAGAGACTTTGTTAGGATTTCCTTTAAAGATTCTGAGTGATAGTTCAGACTTATGAGGTTCAGAATTTTAAGGAAGGAAAAAAACTTGAGTACCTACTGCAAGCCAAACACTACCCTTGGCATTTTTCTTCTTCAATTTCCATAACAATTCTATTATGTAGGCTCCCTTTGAGGCTTTGGGAGATGAAGTACATATCAAGGTCACATAAGAAAGTGGTAAAACTGGGGTTGAATCCAGATCTGACTCTTCCTATACAGCCTCCTTTATCACAGGGACTATTTAACTGGTTTTGTAAATGAATCTTTCACTGGTAAGATAGTGAAAGCTATTGGATTCTGAAATGTAATGATCGTGGACAAGTAAGGAAATTCATTTTTAAAATCAAAGGGTTTGTGATTCTAGGCTTTGAACATTGCTTTACTTTTTCACTTGTCAGTAAGAAATTATTCTTTTAAAATTTTATTACTGGCTTCTTTCTCTTAAACTTGCACCAACAGTTCTAAAATGAAGCTGTGTCTATAAATCGTTAACAGTTGAGGCAGAGAGGGAGTGAGGGATTGAGTAACAGTTCAGAGCTTTTAAAAGTATTCTAAAAATTCTACATGCTCAATTCTAATAGTTCACAGTATAATTTGACAACAGGGTGTCTCATCATCGTGTGTTTATCTCTGCAGTGACCCTGCCATGAAGCAGTTTCTGCTGTACTTGGATGAGTCAAACGCCCTAGGGAAGAAGTTCATCATTCAAGACATTGATGACACTCACGTCTTTGTAATAGCAGAGTTGGTTAATGTCCTTCAGGAGCGAGTAGGTGAATTAATGGACCAGAATGCTTTTTCTCTTACCCAGAAATGAAACTTAGATATCGACCACTTAGCAGTTATAAGTAACAAATGTGAGAGACTGTCACTGTTCGGTATCCTGTGTGATTGATTAGACTTAGAGAATTGCTTAGGAGGATGCTATGGGAAAGATTGTGGTATCATATGTTCAGAAAGAAGCCCCTGAACTGATTTTCTTGTTTTGTTTTTTTCAGTATATGTTCCCTAGAATTAAAAAAAAAAAAGCTTTAACAGTTGGCTGTGATTTGGCTTTTATTATCCTTTATTAAAATATAAATGTAAGTGGTTTTCCTATGTTTTTAATGCCAATTTAATACATTATGAATATAATGGAATATGCTTTTAAGTCTAACCTAGGTATTATTTTGTTTGTTCCTGTTAATAATTGTGGGTTTTTGTAGTGTGGATGTGGTTTGTTTTGTTTCAGTTAGAAACTTCACAGATTAGATAAATATGCTGAAGTGAGATCTTTGGTAATATTTATGTCTTGGAAATAATATCTGCATACCAGCCAGTTCTATTGGTGAAGAAGATGGGGAAGAGAACCATGTAACAATGCAAACTGCATTTTCCATTTCCCTAAGAATACAATGTTTGAAAAGTGCAGAGGGTTAGAAACAACCAAACGGGAAAGGTACGTGCTGCTTTGCAGCTTTCATTTTTCCTTGTTCAAACTTTGTTGGTCACATTTTCCCATCAGGGCAAGTGTTCTTTTGTTGAGAAATCAGTTTTACTTGTGCCTTATTCCCTACGAGAATCCCTGTTTAAATTTATCCAGACAAGAAAGATAGGAACAGATGGAAGCGAAGTCAGTGCTGTGGGAAGCGACGTGACTAGGTAAAGGTATATTGCGTGTAGTCCTATGATTGATTAGAGGAAGAAACAATAACATCGATGGGGGCTTTGCTTCTCCTCCTGAAGATATTGTTACTAAGATGGGTTCCTGTGATGGGCATTTTCCAAGAGAAAAAAGAACTTTCATGATGTTATATGGAATCGTATCAAACCCACTTTACTTTCCTCCTTATGTTTATTCAAAGCACCTGTGTACCACTTTCATTCACTTATACATGCATTACTGAAGCTGGAAATTTCCAGCGTTAGGTATATTTACCATGATTCTCACCCAAATAAATGAGTCTACACAATTTTGATTCCCATGTAACAATGCACACAATTTTGATGAGTTATTGGTACGCTTGGTACTAAAATTTATTGAATAGAAAACATATTTCTTTAGAATTTCCAGCTGTACTGAAATGTTATTGAATCTGGTATTTCAGGCATGTCTAAATCAATTTCTAATATGCCTCAGGCACTTATCACCTAATACCTTTTATATTAACATGAAACTTAGATAAAGTTTTTCTTAGAATCTCAGAGTCTAAAAGGTACAGAAAAAACTATATTGGACAGTGGCTGCAAAGAGTGTTAAGTGAACGAAAATCTTCATTAGCTCCTATTTTTCAAAAAGTCACATTGGGGCAAATGTTAACTGTCTCTGGACACCGCATTAGAAAGATGGGACAGTGTGACACTAGGAACCCCACCTGCAGCCGCTTAGTTGACTTCCTCAACGATTAGAGACTAGGAAGCAACCAGATGACATTTCACCCAGCCTCTGCTTCTTGGAATCTGATTGACAGTGTTAATTTGGCACATTTCACATGTCTAGAACAAGAGATGTTGGCTGCTTGGTACTGGAGAAATTTACTACTGTCTTTTTACTTTTAACAAAGTCCTACATATTGTGAAAAGGTATTAAATTTTCTTAGCCACATAAAAGAATCATATTTTAATTCATGGAAGATAGTTGACCAGTCACAGATATCCACGTACTAAAATCGTGATATTTAGAGCTATGCTAACTTCTTGATAAAGGTGTTTTTTGTTGTTGTTTTTTTCAATACTGTATCAAGTCAAAAATGCTTAATTCCTTGAACCCTGATTTCCTTATGAAATTTAGTGTAATTATTTTAAAACTCTGGGCATCCTCAGTATGCATCACAGTTAACGTGAAAATGTGTATTGAGAAATCAGTTTTGGTGAACAGTAATTGACCATTACCGTTAATAGGCATCAAAGACGACTATCCTTTATTTCTGATAGACACTATAGGTGGTAGTCAAAATTATTAATGATTCTATTGCTCTGAACATCAGCTGTAACAGAGGTGATTTGACATAATTGTACTAGTTTTCTGAAAAGATGGTAAATAATGTACTTACACTATTTTGTAGTTACACATTTTTTTTTCCCCCAAAGCCCCAGTAGATAGTTGTATGTCATAGCTGCACATCCTTCTAGTTGCTGTATGTGGGACGCGGCCTCAGCATGGCCAGAGAAGCGGTGCATTGGTGCGCGCCCAGGATCCGAACCCGGGCTGCCAGCAGTGGAGCACGTGCACCTAACCGCTAAGCCACAGGGCCGGCCCTGTAGTTACACATTAAACCTCACTTAGCTCTAAAGGAACTAAATAAAAGCTCTGACATAATTCCTTCTGATTTAACTAGAATACTGGGATCAATCTATCTCTTAACAACCTTAACAGATAGGAAGAGGGTATATTTTAAAGATGAAGAAATGATGCACTTTGCAGATGTAGTCAATGAATATTCAGGTGTACATAGCTCTACATCATTTGCAGCAAAGGTAACATGGGAAGGTCTCTTGGTGAGATTATTGAATAAGCTTTATAAAAGCACTGTTCTCAGGTCTGGCCCAGTGGCACAGTGGTTATGTTCGCATGCTCCACTTCGGCGGCCTGGGGTTTGCAGGTTCAGATGCCAGCTGTGGACCTACACACTGCTCGTCAGGCCATGCTGTGGTGGCAACCCACATACAAAAATAGAAGAAGATTGGCACAGATGTTAGCTCAGTGACAATCTTCCTGAAGCAAAAAGAGGAAGATTGGCAACAGATGTTAGCTCGGGGCTGATCTTTCTCACCAAAAAAACTCTGTTCTCACTGTAGGAAGGTGATTAAGAGCACTGGCTGGATCCAAATGTCAGCTCCCTGCTTGCTTGCTCCGGGATCTTGGACATGTCATTTCCAATCCCATTTCTCTGAGCCTCTGAGCACTCTACTGTGAAAACAGGAGTACCTGTCCTCAAAAATTGTGTGGACGATGTAGTTAACATATAGAAAGCAGGTGGTTCTGAAATTGAGTTACCTTGAATCTAGAAGAGCACAATGAGAAAGGGGAGGAAGACATTTCAGCACATACCACTTCTTTTTTGTTTTGTTTTGGCTGCACAATCACAATGCAGTGAGACAACAGCAGATGGGGGAGGAGGGGAATTCCTGGCAAAATAGCCTTGGGTGGATAGTTCAACAGGGGCCCACTCCCTTCATTGATCTCAAAACTGTCTCGGAGCAACTTTGTCAGGGAATATCTGAATAGTTAACTTTTCTGAGACCATTCTTCTCTTTGCCTTCACTCTTGAATGGTGATTAGTCTTCTAGAGAGTTCTGGGTCACAATCCATTTCCATCAAATCTGGGCCTTTTTTCTCATTGTCCTCAGACATCATTGAGTGAGTCCAGTTTGGATTTTATTCTTCTGAATCACTTTTTCTACTTGGGTTGCAGGAGTTGCTTTCATCTCATCGCTTTCTCACCCCACTGTTCTTTTCTAGCTGGCTCTCATTCTTCATCCTTCTCTCCCTCCCTTTTTTTGTTCCTCTGTACTGTTTATTATTTCTTTGAAATTTTAAAACTTAGCCAAAGTATATATCCCTTGTTAATTTTGCCTAGGATATGTGAGTCTTCCTGATCTCTCCAAATTCAGGTGGTTTATTTTGCTTTGAGGAGGATTCTGTTTTTTAAATGAAAAATTTTCAGTTGCAGGTTTCATGCCTATATTCCATTTGTTTTCTTTAGAAACACCTATCCATTAGATAATCCTCATTTTCATTGCTTTTTTATTCTCTGTTCCAGTAATGCCTTTCAAATTTGTCACTAAACTTCATTTTACTTTCATGAAAACCTGCTCCCCACTGCTTCCAGTGTGGGCCTTGGCTGCTGTGCTTTTGGGTGCATTGGACTTTTCAAACTGTCCCTTGTCACAGCCTACTTTTGTTTAATGCAGATAAGGTCCACTGGTATCTTTTTTATTTTTAATCGAAGTTATCTTTTTTATGAGCAGTATATGTTCATTGCTGGTAGACTGGAAAAGGGAAGCAAAAGAAGAAAATATAACTCATCCATAATCCTACCACAATTAAAATTGTGATGACAGTCTTCAAACCTTTCTCTAAGAGTGTAAAACAGTCCCCACTCCCCTGTCCCATGACATCACACTGCTTTGACACTTGATTTTTCATTTAATCTTTCATCAGCTTTTATGTATTAAAAACATGAGAGCAGTTATTTCTATTTCAGAGGAAAGTTTTTCCTTTGATTTCTTGAGCACATTAGAATTACATGGGGAGCTTTTAAAAAATATTGATGCCTATGCCCAGCCCCCAGTATTCAGATTTAATTGTTCTGGGACGAGACCCAAGCGTCAACATTTTTAAAAGGCTTCCCTGGTGTTTCTAATGTGCAGTCAGAGCTGGGAGCACCTGGCCAAGTGTGTGCAGTAGGGACTTGGGGTAAGGCTTTGGTGTGGGGCCTTGTTTGGTGTTCAGTAGGCTAACCTACCAGCACAGCTATTTCCTTTTACTGCCAAGGAAATGGCCGAGCCTGTCCAGCAAGGAGCCAGCTTTTGGTTTTTTTTGTTTTTTTGTTTTTTATTTATTTATTTTTTAATTTTTTGTTTATTGCAGTAACATTGGTTTATAACATTGTAAAAATTTCAGGTGTACATCATTGTACTTCTATTTCTGCATAGATTACATCATGTTCACCACCAAAATACTAATTACAACCCATCACCACACACATGTACCGAATTATCCCTTTCACCCTCCTCCCTCCCCCCTTCCCCTCTGGTAACCACCAATCCAATCTCTGTCTCTATGTGTTTGTTTATTGTTGTTATTATCTACTACTTAATGAAGGAAATCATACGGTATTTGACCTTCTCCCTCTGACTTATTTCACTTTGCATTATACCCTCAATGTCCATCCATGTTGTCACAAATGGCTGGATTTCATCGTTTCTTCAGCTTTTGTTAAAATCCACTAATTAGATAACTGATTCCCCAAGTAGTTGCAGAATCTTACTTAGTGACGGCAGTTACCTTGGTTTAGACCCTTCAGTTGGATTGAGGACAGTAATTGCAGCCCTCCTAATGGGTTAAACGTAAATTCACTGTAAGATACTGTAGTCATTTCTTTACTTACTGTTTACCATGTGGCCGACTTTTTTGATGAAACAAACTATTAAGCTATGTCAGTACAT